CATAGGTATTACTACTTGAAGCTCAGATTTTAGACACCACACCAATGTAACAGAGTGACTTCATGTGTGAAATGACCATATCCCATGAAGGGTTTTAAAAACTGCAAATGATGTACTCTAGAAGTTGAAGAAAATAAAAACACTGATTAAACTAGGTTCCCCCTTCAGTTACGAGGATTCTCTCTGAAAATGATTGATTTACATCTGGTAAACTGAAGGCCAACTTGAATCTCTTTACAAACATTCTGTTTCACTGTTTCTCTTGCAAAGAAACATGGATCTTATTATCTATGATCATTCCAATTGTGATATGCCAATAGATTTTTAGAAATGTAGATGGGACCCTCTTCTCTCCAACTGACCCATAGTGACATAGTAAAAATGCATCTTCTAAGAGAAAACCTGTACACACATGTCTGACTACATACATATTAACTGTTATAAGGTGCTGAGCTAGATGTCCCCCCAAACCCCCACAGCTACCTCTTGGGGGCTGGGGGAGCAAAGCAGGGTCACTGAGAGTTACTTTGTGCCTCTGAAGAACATGGCTAGTGTCTCAGTGATGGTAAATGGCTGTGCCTGCTGGGAGCCAGGGAGGAGGGTGTGACTGTCACTCGTGATGCAGAACATGCTGTCAGAGGGGCTCGCTGCACCTGTACCAGGGCAGGAAGGTGGTTGGCTCTAGTCAAGTGACCACACCTGTTGGGACTGACATGGCAGTGGAGAAAGGCAGAAGAAACCAGAGCGCTGGCAGGTGTCACCCACTGTGGGAGGAGTTGGAAATGGGGGTGTGGAGGAAGAGCTGGGCTGGGATTTAAACCTGGGTGGGTGCAGGGCAGCCACTGGGCTTCTTGACCATGCGGCTGGGGTGGGAGAGGCCTCTGGACCATGTAGCAGCCATGCGAGGTCTTGGCCATGTGGTTTGAAAGGGGGTAAAGGCCCCCCAGCAGCCCACCACGAGGATGTGGTTTTGAGTTAGGAGCAGGAGCCTGGCCAGCCCAGCACAGATGACTGAAGGAGCTGGAATAGGAATGGGAATCTGCCCAGCTAAGCGACAGACTTCTGTTTCTTTTCCTGAGACATGGCACCCTGGCTGGCCTGGTTTGGCAAGTAGAGCAGGACAGTGTGTTGGTGGGCATTTTTTGTTTCTAAAGGGGGTGAGATTTAACGGCAGAATCCCATCATTGTTCTAAACCTGTCTAACTTTTGAATAAATAGTTCTTTTCCTTTTCATAATACGCTGGCAAGGGTTGTCATGGTTCTTATCCAAGGTGGACAATAGAACCCAGAGCTTCTGTTACTGAACTGTTCAAAAATTTCTGAGGTTTAACAAGGGATAATATTTCCACGTGTCTCAGAACTTAGCCTGAATTATTATATCAGAGCAATGTTTTACAAAAGAAAATCGGAAAGCATTTTAACTCTTCATGAATTTCATTTAACCTAAAGCTACTTGTAAACAAGTAGATCTGAATAGGAGCAGCACATAGTTTAGAGCATTCTCAAGAGGTTCATGTGGCCCCCAAATACCTCAATCAATACTGACTGTTGATACATACAATTTCTCACAGCCACACCCTCTTCTCTAGGAGAGCCTTTGATCCTTCACCACGTGGACTTGACCTGTTAGAGCATCCACAGTAACCCAGCAGCAACTGCTAATGCTGTTGATGGATTGGACTTTTGCCTGTCTGTTCTCAACAAAACAGTTAGTGGGGAAGAGCAGGGTCCATTGGAAATGGGGCCTACTATCTGATGGGGTTAAGGTGGGGCAGGGGCTATTCTCCCCAAGAGACAAAAAACCCACAGAATGGCCTTAAGGGGCTCTCATAGCAAAGGCTAAATTGAGAAGACTGCAACTGTGAAATGAAAAAATTCAAAAAGCTTTGAAATGGAATCAGATGGGATGTTTTATTAAACTTGTCTCCTAAAAGAGAAATAATTGGATTGCATTTACTTGTTTCTTTATCTTAAAAATGAAAGTTAATATTCTTGGCAAAAGACTCAAAGAATAAGTAGCATAATTTAATTTCTTCACCTAATAAGTAAAGTTTTATCAACCTAGGAACTATATGTTAAAGTAGTATTAATAAATCCCAGTGGTAAATTTTGGGCAAAATCTTATGCACAAAAGTTGTATATCTATCTATTTCTGTGAACTTACAAGGAACTTCCAGAACTATGTACTGTTTTGCGCAAGTCACCAGCAGAAAAGCAAATAGACTGTAGACGTAATGCATTTCCAAGTATGAAATGGGACCTGCATAAATTAATTCCTCTAACAGTTTAGCCTCCTATTTGTGGCGCTCTAACCAACAGCGCAGTTTACTGGCATGTGTTCTATGTCTGAAATCCCAATACTACGTACTATTCCGGAGCTACAGAGTTTCTCTTTGAAGAATCAGTGGCACCTTATCATCTGTATTAGCCTACAGAGATTAGTTTGCTATGGCAAATTTGGCATCAACTGTTTTTCTGATTAAAACAAAACACACACGTACTATGTAAAAATCTTACTAGTATGCAATTTAAGATAATACAACTTCTTTAAAGTGAAATATTGTGCTTCTTGCACTTGTAATAATAAGGTCCTTTGTCCAAAATGGTACACAAATTCCATGTACAAATTCTTTGGAATGTGGCTTTGAGGGACATTTCAGGTCCAGTGAGAGAATAGGTAGTCGATATTACTCATAGCAGAAATAGACCTCAAATGCTGGCCCATTAATACATAGACACAAATGGACACTTATCTCTCTCTACCTTTAAACAGCAAGAAGCAAAAATATATAATTATTGCATGCAGCCATTCTAATTTTAAAGTAAAGCCTAGTGAATAAAAAACTTTGTTAACTTCATTTTGCCATTGCTTCATGCTATAATTATGAATAAAATATTTAATGAGCAATGTAATAGTGTCAATCGGAACACAGGAGAGAGATGTTTACCCCTAGTAGGAACAAACTTCAAAAATACAGCTTGTAAGTGTATTAGGTCATACATAGTTGCTAACACCTGCAACTCTTAGCTATAAATAAAATCAGATCCTGTAAAGAACTCTTCATTTGAATATTATGAAAGCAGCTACTTATTATTATATATATTCTATCATACATAATTGGGGTCGATGAACTCGTATTGAATTTCAAATGTTTCATCATTTCTAACACAGCGATTCTGCCCCTTTTGCTGTCAATGCTGGCCCATCTTAGTCTCATGCATTTTGAAAGTTTATTTCAGGGTTAGATTCACACTGTGGGTGTATGCCGAGTTCATTCTTTAATTGTTGCCCTGCAATTCTCTAGCAAAAGGGCAACAATTCTCTCTATAGAAATGGTGCTCATCTCATCTCTGTATTATTTGTTATTGAGACATGCTTTATTTTTTAATTATATTTTATTGTTTATGCTGTTACAGTTGTCCTCATTTTTTCTCCCTTTGCCCCCTCCTCCCAGCATCCCCTACTCTCTCAGGCAGTCCTCCCACCATGGCTCATGTCTGTGGGTCATGCATGTAAGTTCTTTGCCCCCCCCATTTTCTAAACTGTACTTTACAGCCCTGTGGCTGTTCTGTAACTACCTATTTGTATTGCTTAACCCCTGCACCTTTTCCACCCACCCCTGTCTCTATATTATTGATATTATCTGTTAAGTGGTGATAGGCCTACAATTAACATAATAATTTATGGAGTAAATAAGAGAAAGGACACGTTGCTTAATGCATATGTATTACTTATGACCATATTCTTATTAGAGATTGACTCTGAGTTTATTGTAGTGGCAGATATAGCTACAGCTTCTTATGCCATCTTGTTCACAGTAAATGAAAGGTAAATTAGTATTGCACATTATAGAATTTCTCATCCACAGGATGAACATCGATAAATAATTTTAAGTATGAAAGTACATATAGGGATAGCAGATCTTTAGGCCTTTCTGAATTTGGTGACTGAATTTTATCTCTAAAATGTTTATATTCAAACACCTTTAATATCCAATGTCTACTTTTACAGAGAAACAAAGGTTGATATTATGCTGTCATTGGTTCTGTATGTTTAGTCTTAGATTACATGTTGATCTTCAACCAATTGACTTCCCTTAATTTTTGGAGTTTCAAACACAGAGGCTGAAATCACAATGATGGGAAGCCATTTTGTTCTCGAAACTAGATGCAAAACTAATTTCAGTTATGAAAGAGTACAAGGAATAAAGGGGAGGAAAAAATGGGACAACTGTAATAGCATAATCAATAAAATACATTTAACATTTTTTAAAGAATCTTTTCAGCTCTGTATAACCTTAGCAAATTTTATATTTCCTAAAATTAAAAGTAAGTGAGGACGTTTGGTCCATGTTCAAGATAATAAATTTAATGAATGCTCTATTTAGTATCAGCTTCATGACCTTTTTAAAAGAATTCAACATCTTTGAATTTTGTCAAATAAGGCCTTTTACACCTTTGGCCTGGAGACCAAATCTGACTATCTTTGTAAATGGTAACATGGCCTAAGATACGGGTTTTCAGTAAATTATTGAGAACCTTAGACCAACTCCCCAGCATAAGAATCAGGATCTCTCATTTCCTTGAAAATAAATTTTCTATGGTTCTTCTCTCTTAGAAGAAAAGTAAATCTGAAAAATAACTTCCCCAAATTATAAAAAGAATTTTCATGTTCACAAATGAATGAATAAAATAAGAAGGCTGGTTATGCACAAATAAATACATGTAGATGCAGATAAAAATAAGAAGTCTTAGCTATGCCTATCCAAAATGACTATATGAAATTTCATAATAAACGTTACACAACATAGAAATGCTCGCACATTTCAAATACGGGAAACAGGTGCATAAGGGCCTTCCAGCTAATTTTGTGTGTTTACATTTTAAAAGTACGTAACTACTGTTAACGTCATTAAAAGGCCATTGTTACCAGGACTACAGCTCTGTGCCTTGCAAAGTTAAGTGCATTTACACTGCAGGACAAGATAGGTGTCACTTACTGCACTCAGGATCCGAATTGCCATCGCCCTCCGTGCGGTTGGTGGGCGCAGTGCGGTAGAAGTCCTCCCCCCTCCGGTAGTGCAGAGGCAGGGCATGTGCCCCGCCTGCAGCCTCCAGCTCTCCCAGGCCACCCTCACTGCCGCTCTCCTGAGAGCCTTCTGGCAGGTGAAACGTGACACGCCGCTGGGACTGAAAGGAAGCCAGAAAATTACAGCGTTTCAGCTACCATCTGAATAATTGCTTAATGCAGTCAATTTTGAAAATACATTATTTCCACTACCTAGTGAAGTCACATCAACATTATCTTGATTTGGGAACAATTTCAGGCTTCTGGGAACCTGCTTTAGCTTATATTTTGAAACAAGGCACATCCAGGTGCAGAATAAAGTTAACTTCTAAGACATTCAAGCACATTGGAAGTTCTGATCATCATTTCCACATGGATTTATTGAGCTACTATTTGACAAGAATTCATGTTTTGGAATAATAAATGTGAATACATATAACAAACTTTTATTGTTATATCTGTAAGATTTGGGTGGACTGAAAGAATAAACAATAAGAATGTTATTCAATCATGCAGGCTTAGAAAATTTAAAGTACAAATCATCTTTTCAAAGAATCTTATGGGCCGTACCTTGAATTGAAATTTATTTAAATCGATTCTACGCTTTAAAAAATAAAAATAGTTCCACAGCATAGATAGCAGTTCATGATAATTATAATAGCAAATTAAATAGCAACTATACAACTCATCTTAAATGGTAATTGCAGCAGAATGTACAAAATATATACTTGTGAAATAGAAAGATGAAACATTTCGTGTCCAAAACAAGAGGTTCAAGACATCCAGTAAGGGTGGTAACTGCACTCCATTTTATTTGCAGCACTGCTGTGGTACAAATACATCCCCTTGAATGAAGCTCCCCAGGACCTATCCATGGCCTTCTGTAGTCCTCCACCACACTAAACATGGGTAGGCCAAGTGTAACCAAACCTCTGGGACTCTCCCTCACTCCTTTGGAAAACTCACTCCGGGGAAACCAGCTAGACCTGTATGTGAACAACCTGTTCTGGACATTACAGTTTGAGCCCTATTTTATTCACATTGAGGCCATCCCACTGCAGTCACATGTCATTGCGGAGCACTACCCGAATCCCTGACCTAAAAACATAACGCACAACTCCTTTCCCTTTGATGTTCCAAAGATTAGAGGTAGTTTGCTATGCAACAACAGATCAATGAAAATACTTCACTCCTAGCAGTATGTGATACAAGATCTGGAAAAAGCATTTTAAAATGTCCAAACCACTATATTGTAGACATTTATCTATAATTGACTATGGTATGCATCACAGATTAAAAGTCACTGCATGTAAAAGAATAGGGTTTATCATGAGACTAATTTACCATTGCTTGCATGAAAATCTATACCTGTTGAGAGATCCTTTCTAAAAGACACAAGCAATGTGTTTCAGGTATATATATGTATTAATAATGTGCCATGCGCATGTTAACATGGTATGCATATTAAACATTTAGTGTGTGTGTTAATGTATTGTTGCCATGTACATTGTTTAAAGCATTAGACCTAGATAGAAGAGTATATGAATAAGAAAACAACTGCTGCCAAGAAAATGAACTAATCTAGAATTTACAATGTGCTGCTGAAGCCTAACACAGTACAAATTGCCAGTGAAGGGAAGATGAAGTTGTGTCAAATGGTAAGGGAAATGAAGTTTTGATTTCACTTTCTTATCTATGCGCAAAAGAGCAACTCAGTGAAAAGGAAACATGTATCCCATCCTAGGACACATATACTAGGAAGGAAGTTCACTAAAAGCCATGCAAAGGCATGCCCCGGACTTCATCCAAAGGTAGCCTGGCCACAACACTCATCCTCCCAGGTCCCGGGTAAATTTACCCACCTCACAGGTAAATAAGAGAGAGTAAGGGTTTTGTAAGAACTCCCATGAGTGAACAAAAGTGTGTTTGTCCCTTCCTAAAAGCAAATCAACACACTACCAGCACCAGAACCATGTTCCTGAAATGCAGTTCTCATAGCTGACATTATTGCACATGCAGTTTCAGGGTTTCAGAAACAGTCATATTGATAAAACCTTGTTTGTACTAGCTTCAGCCAATATCAGAATGCCTCAAGTGGGGATCAACATATGTGGTTTGCACATTAATCTATCATTTTTAAATTGCATGAAATTCAATGACATTAGAGATTTGCTATTGTTCTCATTTACAGTTTCAAAGTCTTACCTATTTCTATAATCCACAGAACATATTCAGCATCATTATTTAAAATACAGATATTCTGTTTCTTTAATTAGTGAATTCAGAAGAGGCTCTGTACTTGCACATCTGTGAATAACTAAGCTGTCCATGGACATATAAATCTATGAAAGACTTCCCTCAGTCAAATTATTGGAATTTCAGTTTTTAGGAATTGTTTTAAAGGGCTTCTGAAAAATTAACCTTGACTAAGAAAAGAATGGTTAACTATTTTCCCCATGGTTAACTAAAATAATTCCAATGCAAGCTTGCATTTTGTAATTCATTGACATTTCCAGATAGATGTGAATATAAAATAATTATACGAACTTAACAATTTATGAATCCTTTACAGTAAATTTCAGAAACCTGGTTTAACTCATTTGCCACTTACTTGTTAATGGATAAATCCTCTCTCATGGTACCTTTCTGCTCATATTCATCATATGAAGACATTCAAAATCCGCAGGTATTTTTCTCCTCCAATATATTTACAAATAGTAATCATTTCACGGAAATTATTCCTTAAGTCTCTCAAAGAGAGGGACAAATGATTTCCTCAAAGAGAGGGATAACGTATTTCATTTTTTTCAGGTGTTGAAGATGATTACCGAGCTGTCATGCTAATCAGTGTGTCATAATGTGTCTCTCTGCAGCTCTCTGAGGAAGCTCAGGCATACAAATTAAACAATCTACTGCCTTGTAATGGCGACTTTATGGGATGGAAATAAATCCTGGATCACTCATGAATAAATGTCTCCCTGAATGGCTAGCTATGTTTCTGTCAGTAGGAGAAAAATTCACAAGGGGTCTCTCCCCTTAATCTGCATACCTTGTTTTTAGCTCTAATCAATAGAAATTCCAGAAAGTACGAATGCATAAAAATAATACTGCTGTCACCTAGATGGCTCATTTACCAGCAAACTATCAGAGTTGCCGCATTCTTGTGTCCATTATACCTCAAGAAGGCATAATTCCATGTTAAACATCAGGTGTATGTCGTTGCATTTGCATAACACAATGCAAGTGGCACCTGAGAAAGGTTAGGCTGGCAGCTGAGAGGCTGTATGCTGACAGGCCGGACCCTGATGCTCATTACCGGTGCTTGAGTCTGCGTTCCAGGGGGCTCATTAGAATCATCTGTCCCCGGTTTCAAATCCATCCTCCAACCTTGCACTCCCGCAGCATCAGTTCGAATACACCCTGACCCTGCCTAGCTGAAGACTCTGCCAACGCCCAGAGCTCGGATTAGAAACCATAACTATAGGTCAGGTTATTACTTTTTAAGGATTACCATGTGAGTGCCAGGTTGTTTTTGAGTCATATAAAACATTCTTTATATCAATAATATATCTTTATTATTTCGATATATCAAAAATATATCTTTATATATTTTAAGCTTCTGCATTCCCATATATTATCATAATAAACAACCCATTTTCCCCATGGGTACTGTCTCTTATTTATAATTATTCAATATATCATAAAGTAGAATATGAAAAAATCTTAAAAACTCAATTTGAGATGTTCACGCGCATTTTATGGCTAGCACATATATCTTGCACGTAGCTTCAGTGCAAAGTCCCCTGGATGATACATTATGTATTAGGTCTTTATTGTTTGACCCTATGATTTGCTCAACTCCCTACTTTTCCAATTCAAGTCATCTTGCAAGATAGATCAGTTCGCCTAATTTTTTTTCACTATTTCATAAAATTTGAATGGTGTCATTTCTCATTTTCCCTTTTTCATTTGGCTCCTGAAGTTTTTACCTTTTAAGGCTTTTTAAAAATAGCATAACATATTACTAGCACGTGCAGAAAGTTTTCCAATTACCCCAGAATCAGATCCTCCCTTAGCTCTGACTATTTTACTCTTATACCTTTTGACACTTGGTAATATTGAAATTAATTTTATTTAATTAATTTTAAGCAAATGAATCAGGAACATTTATTTGATGATAGAAGACTATGTAGTATTATATGAGGACATCTTTCCTTGAGTCATGATTCATTTCATATCAGTCAAAATGGAAGTGATCTATTTGTAGATAAAGCTTCTTTCTAGAATGTTGTTGCTTATAAATTGTGAAATTGGCAATTGCCAGAGTTTTGTGAACTTTTAAATAAAATAGTTATTACAAATTTTTGAGAAAGTAGAGTTGCATAACTAACAATTCAAATAGGATAAGCCCTAGCTGGTGTGGTTCAGTTGGTTGGAGCATTGCCCCATAACCCAAGGATTGCAGGTTCCATTCCCCGTCGGGGCACATGCCTAGGCTGTGGGTTTGGTCCCTGATCTGGATGGGAGTTAACCAATTGATTCTTCTCTCTCATGGATGTTTCTCTCTCCCTTTCTTCCTCCCTTTCTCTCTCTCTAAGAGCAATGAAAACAATATGTGCTTGGGTGAGTATGAAAAGATGGGATAAAACCGGACATCAACATGCTTTGAAACTGCGTCCAAAAATGGTATTTAGTAATATTAAAACCAGATATTAAACTAAAGGCAGAGCATTGTAATGGTCTTAAAGATGAAAACCAAGTATCAATTTAAAGAAAGAAAGAGAAGAAATCTCTACACTGTTTTTGGTGCTAACCACATCTAGGCTTGGGGACTTACATAAAAATTTATGAATTCTTGTAGTACCTTCATTATTGGGAAGCACATATGTGGTGGCCTTGAACTATTCAAACAGCAGTGAGACCAGCAAGTGAGGGAGAAATTCAAAGCAAGCAAATTGCTAAAATATTTACCACTAAGTTCATGCTCAGAGTCATATGTACCTTACTCTGCTTTGACAAATTCAGTTACCTATTTCTTCAGCTTAAAGTGTGTTAGAAGCATCGGCAGTTGCTAGAAATGGAAAAATTGACAGAAGGAGAAATTTCCACAACTTTCCCTAGA